CCAGCTTTCCTACCTGCTCTCTTATTCATGGTGTTGTTTGTGCACGCAGCACAGCGCGGGCGGGCGTTCGGTGTACTTGTGTGTTGCAGATGAGCATTTGACCGGCATTTACAGGTGATTATAGGCGAAATAGAGTAGAGAAACATTAAGACTGGTACGTTTCGTGTTTATTTACCTTTTTTTTTTTTTATTGAGACGTTCCAAGTGCCTGTGGTCTGTACTTAACGTAGCTCTAGTAACGGCCGCTCTAGTAGTAGCGCTGAATGGGTCGTTGTCGTATCAGGTACTACAGATATGTACCCGAGGTACATATATGTATACACAAAGTGTACCAGACTTGTACTACAGAAGTGTACCCTAACCCTAACCCTAGCCCTAACCCTAACCCTAAACATACCTCATATAAAAATATAAACATAATACTAAACAACCTAAAACTACATTGGGTACATATCTGACTGTAGTACCTGATACAACAACGACCCCATCTGCAGTAGTAGCCCGCGTAGGGTTGCCGTTGGCGTTGGCGGCAGCAGCAACCGTACGCGAGCTATAGTTACTAGAGCTATAGTTACTAGAGCTAGTCTGTACGGTACTCTGTCTCGGTGTCTGTAGTGTAGTACTGTGTAGGTACATAGTTACTTACGATAGTAAACACAAATTTATACAAGTTACAACATAACCTCATAAGTGTTAGGTAATCTTCAAACGTCCTGGGGACTATAACGAAGATGGAGAGAGAAGTGGATCAAGTCGGTAGATCCACACTGCGGATCGCAGCGGAAAAGGTTGTAAATTTGCTATTTACTAAGGATGAAGGCAGTGAATTCCAATACGGAACCACAGAGACAAAGAAGCTAAAGGATTAGCTTAAAAAGATCCTTAGAAGTTTGTACATGCCGAAAACAGTGATCACGCTCAGATGAGCGAGTGCAGCGAACAGGCTTCATTAAGCAAGAGGGAATGCCAATTTTCATCTCACCATGATAAATTTTATAGAAAGTTATGAGTTTTGAATGAAGAAAGGGGACACGAAGAGGAGGCCATTCAAGACGAGCCAAAACAACATCAGCACTATCATCATAGTTTCTGGAAACCATCTCGCAGCTTTATGCTGAATGGTGTCCAATTTAGAGCAGAACTTTCTAAAGTCTATAGGGGCACCAGCCTGGCGAAGCATATTCTAATATGGGCAGAACCATAGTTTTAAAAGCTAGGGATCGAGTTTTAGAGTCAGCAAAGCTATTAAAGATTTCGCCGTAACATGCCGAGGGATCGGGATCATCGGGATGCTTTCTTACAAATATAGTCAACGTGGGCATTCCAGCGAAGATCGTTACTAATAATAACACGCAAATATTTGTTAGTAGGGGTAAGAGATAGATATTTATGATACAGCGAGTAAGTAAAAGTCAAGGGTGGTTTGGGGCGAGTAATGCGAAGAATTTTACATTTTTCTGCATTGAATGACACACCCCATGATGTTGCCCACTTCTCAGTACGAGTAAGGACCCTCTGGAGGGCTAACTGGTCGCTCTTATTGTAGATGGTGCGGTACAGAACAGCGTCGTCAGCAAAGAGGCGAATAGAAGTAGAACTAGAAGGGTCAGTTTCGGCCAACAAATCATTTATAAAGGATAAGAACAGCAATGGACCCAGCACAGAACCTTGGGGTATACCCGATGTGACAGCGACCACATCTGACATGCTGCCGTTAACACAGATAATTTTAGATCTATCCTTCAAAAAGTCAGAGATCTATTTTAACGTAGTAGTATCCAAACCCAAGTGACCAAGTTTGAAAATTAAAAGGTCATGAGGAACTCTATCAAAGGCCTTACTAAAATCTAGGAATACTGCATCAACTGATTAGATATCTCTGGCTGGAGTAGGCACGACCAAAAGCAGAGTTATAATTCGAACAAGTGAACATTTAGCTATGCGTGATACCAACATTGAGGCTGTTGTTGGTGTATTTGTGCCATCATTATGTGAAACAAAGCGAGCGTCGTGTGAATTTTGCGATCACGCTTTCCCACTTCTTGTTGTTTGTGCACAGCGGCTTGCATGCAGTGTACTTGTGTGTTGCAGAGGAGCATTTGAACAGCATT